TGGGGTCCTCACCCCTATGAGTTAAGATCCCTTCCTTCCAAGCTTCAATACAATTATGCAGATTATGTTGAGTCCTTCTATTATATTTTCCTACACCAAACCCCTGAATTTTCACATTCCTGGTTTATAAGTTTTGATAATAAATTTAAAAATGATCAGCTTCCCTACTGGTTTCTTCACTGGTGGGATACTCATGGTCCTGTATCTGAAATCATCCCCTCTGCAATCACTGAGCTTATTACTACATTCTCTGCTCGAGTTAAACTTCCTGAGCGTGATCTATTTTTTCCTTCACCCTTGCTTTTCTTTACCCGTTACAAAATACCTTGGATTATGAAATGGAATTATCATGCAGATTGGGAGAAGAGATTCTTTTCCCGTCATTTTTCCGTTAAATGGTGGGATCGTTTTGAGGTCCACCGTATATCTGAATATTTCTACAGAGATTTCCCGGCACTACCTCCTAAGCCTGAGCCCAAGCCTAAGCCTTCTTCTTCTCAGTCTTCCCAAATTTCTACTGAAGGAAAATCTAAAGTTGAGCTGAGGGATCTAGCTAAACAGTTACTTTTGCAAGCTGAAGAAATGCAAGATGATGATGAAGACAATGGATCTGAGTCCTCCTCCAGCTGCCAGCCTCGGCCTTTGAGCCCTAGTCCTGATCGCCCGATGAGATGGTCTGACTATCCCCATGGTCAAGACCCTGCTGAAGCCTATTCTGCCTATGATCTGAATTCAGACTAAGTATTCACCATGCGGACAAATCTGAAAGTTGAATCATTGAAAGCATCTGAGTAAAAGCAAAAGCACCTGAGTAAAAGTAAAAGCATCTGAGTCAAAGTAAAAGCATCCGAAGTGAAAGAGAAAGCATCTGAGTGAAAGTGAAAGCATCCAAAGTGAAAGTGAAAGCATCTGAGTTAAAGTGAAAGCATCTGAGTTAAAGTCACCTGTAATTATTGCACTAGAGTTAGTTTACTTGAGTTACTCTTTTCTTCTAGAGTTATGTCTTTCTTTTTAAGGAGGCTTCGGCCTCATTGGAATTCAGAATGTAAAATTTAGTTTTCTAGTTTCAAATTGTTCTTTCAGACAACCTATCTGGAGAACAGCTAAGTATGAGCGTGAATTAGAAAGCTATCTTTTGTAAGCATTCTCACTGAGCCTATACTTATGTTAATAAAAGTTTTTTGAAGTATTTTCCAAATACATATTATGTTCATAAATTCATTACATTTAATTCATACCATTATTTTTATACATTCAATATTTGTTTATTCATTGATTAGATTTGTTAAAAAAGGAGTGTAAGTGGATAAAATAGGAGAAAAATGAGTGGGGAAATCACCACTCTTTGTAATATACCACTTTTTATTTCTCGATTAAAAAAGTAGAATCAATATTTTTTCTGAGATGGAAAATTGCAACAAACACAATATAATCACTGTATTGAGATATAAATAATAAATACTTTGGCAAAAAAAGAGATATAATAATAAATACTACTTTGCATTGAAATTATTTAATTCCCGTAACTTGAGCCAAATTTTAATTTTCGCAAAAATGGATATTAGTTTAAGTGACTGAGAGCTAACTCTTGCAAATAAAGAGTTATGTGTTCAAATCCCCCTTAATCCAATATTGCTTATATAAATAACAAAAAAAATTTGCTCATTTTGTCTACAAATTATCTCAACAACAAAGATAATAGCTTAATTCTGCAACCAAAGAAAATCTGACATAATTAGCATGTGAGTGCCATAATGCCAAGTGAAGGGAGCGTGCCCGCGTCCTTGCACCTGAATTTGACCCCTTTTCTGTACATTGGAGTAGTTTAAAAAATAACTTTGTAACAAAATAATAATAATTTGAGACTGTCTACCAACGATTTCTCGTTCTTTGACTTCAATGTGATTTTTTAATTCAATTATATGAGATGTCTGTTTACGTGATCGGGCCGAAGCCCCTTTTCCAAGCAAGTGCACAAAGGCCCAAATCTAGCCCAACGAGCCGCCTTGGAGCCCAAGTAAAGCAGCAATCTTCCCGGACCTTCCACCGAACTGTGAAAAATCGCAGAGAGATTTTCTGGAGTTCGCTCAAAGGCACACAGAGAAAGAGGCATAATAGAAGGAAAGCAAACAGAGAAGAAAAAAAAATGGGGTGGGTGTGGAGGGACGATGAAGACGACAACAATTCAACTGCGGGTGACATAAACCCTCGGTCGGACGGTGAGCGATGCTCGACGAGGAAGGTGATGAAGACGCAGTGCAAGACTGAGGAGGTGGAGCCTGGAAAGTTCGTCCGAAAGTGCGAGAAGACCGAGCAGCTTCTCAGGGACTGCGCTGGCAGGTTTGCCTCTCTCTCCATTTCCCTAAAATCCTGTGGCAAATTAGGAGTAGTTTTATCTAGGGTTTCAATGAATTGCCTAATCAAAGCACTGTGATTTTTAGCGGCCTCTATCTTTTATGCTTTGATATACAGTTTCAATATATTTTTTATATAACTAGTTCTAACCCTTTTTCTCTGTATTTTCTGGTTGGATTTTTTGTGTTGTGAGGATTATGGGTTAGGATAAAACATGTTAAGAGTCATGAAATTATGATATTTGAAGCTAAATTAAAGAAGCAAATGTTGGTTATGCTTTGATGATTATGAAAACACAGTATGAAAGAGAATCAAATTTCTTTCTTCTGTCTTGTTGACAATACATGATAATATGGACCATGTTTTGATGCCTGAACTATATAAATTGCTCAAGTGCGCTTGACTTACAGTCTAGCAAAGTATGATTATAGCATGTGATTATTTATAGGGTTGTTTTAGTTTTCTTCGTTCCAATCACAGTACAACAGCTAAGACCTCTAAATTTGTTTTACAAAAAGTATTATGGCTTTGGCTACATTGTTCAGATGAGTATGCTCAGAGGTCCTGTATTGGTCATGCAAAATAGGTTGTTGACGTTCTTGTTAGAGCCAATATAATCAAATTTTTTACATTGGTTTGGGAATTAGTTTCAGAAATTTGTGATGCTACTGGTTACTTGATAAATTGTTTTTGAGATTAATTTGAATGATTCCGCGACAACATGTAAACACGATTGGCATGTCAAATTGGTTGAGCTGTTGATGAAGTGCTTTATGCTTATTTGGACAAATTGCATGGACTTTAAAGCTGAATACTAGGATTGTTCAGTGGGTGGATGAGCTATACCTTAGTAGAAAAATCTTTCTGTGGGTATCATGTCTCCCAACTCTGTCTTTGCTAGCCTCTGAATGTAATTGGAGCTATCCGCTACATAAAAAGTATCCATCTCTTTTTCTTCTCCCTGTTTGAGCATTGGTATTATTTATGTTACTACAACATTGACCAATGTTGGGCACTTTACCTTTTGTTAGGCCTGTCGAAGTGGTGCAATCCAATAAAGAGTACACTGAAGATGATGTCACGGAAGAGGTGCTCAAAGGGTCTGTCTACTCTGGGTCATCACAGCATGGAGCATTTGACTTCCCTGGGCTACGCAGTGACATTGAAGACATTGAACGTACCTTTATGGGTGGCCTCAGCCGTTTCTTTGATGCTGCTGAGGAGATGAGGAATGGATTCTTCAGTGCATTTGGGGTTCCACGTATCTTTGATGAGGGACCCTCTTG